TTCTAGTATTAATTTTAGAAATCCTAGGATTGCCCTAAAAAAATCATTTGAAGTAGACTAGTACATAAGAAAGTTTGTTTTCTATTCTATTGTTTAATTAGTATTCGACTCTTCAACATAACTAAGAAGCGGGTACCCTTGGTGAATATTTTAGTCTCAATGCAAATGAATTACCTTTAATTACATTATAGCTAGTGTTTTTAGTAAAGGCACTTAAAAATTAACCCTGAATTGATACATTATTGCTATAAAAAAAAAAGAGAAATTGAAAAATAACGATCTTTAATTCTTGATAAATAAAACTCAATAATTTTTTTGGTAGGTCTAGAAATTACAATTTAAATGTATAATTAAAAATATAAATAAATTTATTATCAAATTACACAATTAATAGTAAAACTTAATAATAGGTGAACAATAATACTTCAATTATAATTTTATTGATAAATCTCATTAACTTAGTACTGTATTAAAAAAAAAAAAAAAAAAAAAACTCTATAATTCAAAGAGACAGCTATGTATGGCCTAAAAGAGAAAGGGACAACAAAGAATTTTAACATTGACTTTATTGGAGATTTCCTTGGTTGGCACGGCGGACATAATTTTTTTTTTTCTTCATTTCATTATGTGTGAATGGAAATGTGCGAGATGTTATTATTGGTGGGTCTTGGTGTCCCATGAAAATGACCTAATTTAATTCTATTATCATTCACCTTCTACCAAGTTACGTTTATCCAAATACTAAAAAATTATAATTTTTTTGAATATTCTCTCATTTAATGTTCATAACGTGTTTACGTCATCTTATGACAATTTCACTAATTAACAATTTTTTTAATTAAAAAACTTGTTCGTTAAGAGTAATTCCTCACATGGTTTTTGTTAACATCTACTAAAATGTTATTGACTAAACTAAAAGAAATTAATTTATGAATTAAACAGTTAATAGATGAGTAATTTCTTTTCTTCTTTTTTTTTGTATGGATCATCCGGTATTCGGAAGCTCACTAAATTACCAACTAATTCGAATTCGAGTTAAACAAAACTTAATGGGTGGTCAAGTTCTTCCTCACAAATTTTATCAGAATTGCAATCTCAAAACTTAAAATTAAAATCTTTAGGTAAACAAAAAAATTTTTTTATTAACTCATCCACTTGCTTTGTGAGTAGATGAGTTGTCTTTTATTAACCCATCCACTTGCTTGTGGGTAGATGAGTTGTCTTTTATATATATATATAATTAGTGTTGGTGGTTTGCCGGACCCCAAACAAATTATGAAGAAAAAATCTTAAAATTATAATATTTTATTAAAATATTAAAAAATTAAAATAAATTCAAATTTTATTTAAAAATAAATATTTTAATTTTTTAAAAACAAGTGTATTTATGGTTAACCGTGCGAGTTAAGTAAGGGGAGCAATGCTCACCTTCCCTTATTTCCGACAAGATTCAGTCTCCAGTTTTTTTTTCAACTCCAACCGCATCTGCAAATCAGGATATGATTTATTATTATTATTATTATTATTATTATTATATAAAGCAAAAAGAGAAGAAAGAAAGTGCATTTCCCATTGCTATTTGACTAATCCAAACAAAAGACCATTCTTGGGCAGCAAGCACCAACTACCATCATGAGCCTCCATCACCTGAACCCACTGTGACACTATCCCTTACCTTTTCTCTATTGGAACCCCTATAGTGTCAGGTGGGCTGCCCCTCTAATTCCAACTTTTATATATATATATATAGGTTATATGTATGTTATACAAAGAAATCATCCTCTCTTTGTTTTTAATTTTTGGGGACGAGACTATATTTAGGAAGATTCAAACTTAAAAAATGCACTTTAGAAGTCAATTTATAGTTGTTAGGGTGCGATACCTAAGTGCATCAAAAGAAACTACTTTATAACATTTATTACCAAAGAATTTATATTTATAATAAATGAGTTAATTAAGATAAAATTATTAATATTTTTTTATTAATAAAATGGTCATTTTGTCCTAGGAAAACTTGTGGCCTGAAAGGAGTAAGGACAGCAATCCGAACAGAGCATCCTTAAAACATTTGATGCAGTCCAATAACCAAGTAGCAAATGGAAAACAGAGCTAAAACTGTTCTGTTTTGGACTGTATTTTGAACCTGTCTCTGAGCCTTCTAGACTGAAGTAAAGGCAGAAATGCATGAAACCATGAGCCCTTAGCCAGCCGCCATTAAGGAAAACCCATAAAAAAAAAAAAAACACAAACAAATTCATTGAGTATTATTTTGACCAAATAGATTGTGAAAAGGAGAAAACAAAAAAAGAAAAAAAAGATTGTCAAAAGTGACCCACCATGACTAACGAGAATCATATCTTTAACTACAGTACCAATCTTAATCCAAAATAGTGTATTTTGAAAAGTAGTATGAATTGGATTGGATTAAATTGGACGCGGAAGCACTATGAACAACATCCATCATTCGGGCCAGATTCATCTAGCTAAACGGATTTCCTAACAATTTCGATGATGGAGTACATATAATTGCTTTCCCCCTATTTCCAGAATCTTCTCTTCTTTCCTTTTCTGTTCTTTAAAAAAATACACATATATTGACCAGCATTACCACAATTTTCATTTTCCTCGTTTGTTGAACTTCCTATATCGCCCAGCCTCAAACTTTGTTTGCAAATTCTGAAAAGAGAATAAAGAAAACAGAAAACTTTGTTTGCAATTTGCAATTGCAATGAAATTGTGTCGCCATTACAAAAGGATGAGTAATAATAACTATTACTATAAGTTTAATATGACTTAAAAAAATATATTAAATAAATTAAGAAATTTTACAATTATATGAATAGTAAATAGCTTCTTAATATATTATTAATCTAATGATGCATTAGTTGACTAAGGGAAACTTAAATGGTTTTAAAATTCTGACTTTTAATGTCACTTCAAGTCAGTTTATTTTTATTTAATTAGTTGACTTAAATCATTTAATTTTAATTACTCAAATAATGTTGAAATTAATTGATTTTATTCTAATCTTTATGAAACAATATTTAATTTTCAACATTATATTACTAATATATTGGCAGAGCAAAATTACCTCATCACTGAGTCTGACCCAACAATTTTCAAATGGATTCAAGACAGAATCATCATGGAAGTTGGAATGACAAAGTCCAAACCAACAGATAGAGAGGCTGGAGATAGATATTGGCTCTTACCATCTCACCATGTTTAGTTAAAGAGTAGACGTAACTCGCTGACTCTCACAAAAAACAGCATGGTTAGCTTGCCTGAGCCAACAATTTTCACACCTAACCTATAACCTTATCAGATTTTTCAGATAAAACAAGCATGCAGAAAACTGCAAAAAAGCATTTGGTTGGTTGCTGAAAACAAACTTCAGAGGATGTCTGTAAGAGATAATCAGTTATTGTCTGGGAAAAGAGGCAAGGATACATACAAGAACTGTTACTTTTTTCCCAAAACATGGACATGACTGAAGTCTAATGATTGGTTTGAGCCATGTTTTTTTTCTGATGAGGATTGTTGGCAACTAGTGTTCCCATCCCTGGTCCCTGCCTGCCTAATTAATGCTCCATACCAAGAAATGCTTGAATTCTGTCCCTGAAATAGAACTACAAATGAAACAACCATATTGCCTTACATTGCATTCAGAAACATGTGAAATGGTGAAGACCAAGCTGAACAAGAAGTTCCAGAGAACTTAAGCTATTGCGGTTTGAAAGATAAAGACATTGGTTTATAGAGCCAAAGCAAAGCCAAAGAGAAATGGTTTGGAGGTCACTGAAACATAGCAGGAAAAAAAAAATGGTGTTGTGAAAATTCATAGCAAATGTTCAAGAGACTTAAACATTAGTATAATAATTGCCGTGAAAGAGATGAATGAATGACCATTGAAGAAAGAACAGAAAAGGCCCGTCAGAATTTCATTTCCTCCAAGTTATTGAACAAACACAGCATGTCAAACTCAGTATAGAATTTACATGGAATAAGCTGATCACTACATCTGAGTTGAAAAGTCCTTAGTTTCTAACTAACATGTTAGTCAGAACTCCTAAGCAGGTACCCAGCAGGAGGATGCATAAAGAACCCTGCCCTTCCATCCCTGTAGCACCCAGTGACTGTTCTGATCCAATACAAATTCCTTGTGGTAACAACTCTCCTTCATCTTATCCCTTATCAGCTGCATCAGTTCCTGATCCAATGGGAGTGGCTTGAACCCTGCCCTTATGTTTCGAACCTGCCACTGCTTCCATGTCTCTGGCCTATGAACCCTCTCTGCACCCTCATATGCTACAACATTAATTGCTTCACACCCGTAAACTTCATTTTCAAGCATCAATCTTGCTGGCTCTTCACGATCCATGGTATTGTCAAACACATCATATATTGCAGACAAATGGAAAAGTGCCTCCTTGAACCTTGTAACAAAGAATGGAGCATTGTAAGAACCATTCAAAATAGAGTTGACAAAAATGGCAGGGTTCATACTCCTGATTAATTTTAAAACAACATTCCTTGGACAGTCCACTTCTGAATCTGCTGTCTCATCAAGGAGATTCTCAAACCGGAAAAGATTGTTCACTGCCAGCATCTCATTACAATCAAGTTTGAGGTCTTCAAGTTGGATGCTTTCCCAGTTCTGCACTGCTATGGAGTTGTATTCGAAAGGAACATTAAACCGCTCACAATACTTTGCCAAGTGACGTCCTGTCTCCTCAATTCTTTCTGATGGTCTAAAGCCACGTTGCGGAAGCTCTATTCCTGTAATTCTTAGCTTGGGAGGCCCACCAGCTCTCATGGAAAGCAAATGAATAAGCGGTGGCCACTGGAAACCAAATAGGATACCAAAGTCTACAACATGAAGACTGGTTGCCTTCTCCGCCATGCTGCAGATCATTTTGTTGGCAAAACCAATTCCCAGCCTTGTAAATGGACAAGCTGTAAGGTGAACTTTGTAGGCTTTCAATGCATCAGCAACTGCTAACTCTTTGGAAGTTATGGAGGTGAAAAAATTTTGAGTTCTAGTTGCACTCCCATCCAAGCGTGTCTCAAGGCCATTGGCAAAGTAATGGGCCAACCTCTGAGACCCATCACCATATGGAGAAGAGTGCTCCCTAATCTGCTTTAGTAGCTCACCAGCAGTCCTGCGATCATAAGATGAGACAGCTTGTGCACAGAGAATCAAAAGAGCCCTCAGATCAACTGTTTCCTTCTTCTTGCCCCCTCTCTTGGAACGGGTTTTCCCAGCATCAGATACATTGGGCTGCAAGGTTTTGCTTCCGTCAAGCTGTAAACCTTCATTGTCATCTTTATCATCACGATGGCATAGCAATACTTTATCAAACATCTCACATAGTTCACTCTCATCAACATAAACTGCTGACTGCTTAGTACTCCTCTCGTCCTCTAATTCTCTATTTTCCCGTTTATGGTTTTGCTTTCTACCCCACAACCCATCAGGTGATTGCAGCCTCTCATTCTTCTCCTCATTGACAGTTGCATTAGAAACCCCTACCTTTTGATTGCTAACAAATGTGGTACTCCCTAGATCAATAATCATTTGGGTACCACGGGGAAGGAACTTACTAGCTTCCTCATACCCTTTCTTGAACTGCAAGGCAGATTCCACATCACTGAGCATAGTCTGAACCATAATCTTAGTGGCAGAAGGTTCCATCAGCCCATTACCCATGTTACCTGGGGTACTAGTTGAGCTAACAGAAAACTGTGAACTGGTCTGGTTTGAATTGGGCTGAAAATGGTAATCACTCGGAAGCAAAGCTTCTGATACGGATGGACTATAATCTCCAACATCACCTACCCACAGATTGTCAGTCCCAATACTGGTGCTGGGGCTAGTAATAGAATGACCACTAGTACTACCACCAGATACAATACTGTCGGAAATCTCCAAATTCTGGTGTAGAAACAGTTGGGGTTGATCACTTGGAGGAGGATAATGCTCTACTAGGACTTCATATAATGATTTTTCAGTGTCTTGTAGAGCCAATGGGTCCTTCCAGGGCCTGTCGTCCATGTTCTCTTCCATAAGCATCTGGCTTATGTACTTGAGAACTGGGTCAGAGGATTCACTATCACCGCTGGGAGAGAAGCCGGCTCCCTCCGGGCTCCAGCTCGTGGACACAGAGAACAAACCCTCATCAGAGCTAACAGAAACAGATGGAGGGAAACTAGCAGGTTCTGAATTGGGGAGAATAAATGGGAGGTCCATGAAACTAAGATCTGGAGATGGGACATTGAAATTGAACCCATTTGTGAGATCTGAGTGCTGAACAGGATTGAAGATTGTATCTTGCTCAACTTGGAAACCATTTACGTAATCAGAAAGTTCAGTGACTTTAGGATCCATGCTCATCTGAAAAAGCAAATTGTAGAAAGGTAAAAAGGCAGGGAAAAAGACTCCAAGTATCTAACTTTAATTGATCTATTTCAAGCACAAGAAACCTGAATCTGTAATTCTGACCAACCAACCATATCCAAACAGGCAATCTACAGACATGACAACTTCCAATTTGACAACATACAGACAAACCCCAAATGAAAGAAACAAGTTTTGGAGATATCTAAACCCTCTCAAACAATCACAAATCATCATAAGATCAAGAAATAGTAAATTTTACAAGATCTGAACGGAAATGAAAGACATAACTAAAAAAACAGGAACCTTAAAATGTAAAAACCCATGTAAGAAATAATTAACTACCCGAAGTAAAAATTGAAGCAAAGGGTGATGATTAAAAGAAGAACATATAAAGAAAGAAAGAAAAAACACTTGAGTACCTTCTAGAAGTCTTGAACTGATCCAGGAAGACAGTCCAGAAACAAAAAAATTGCCGTGATGCTTTTTTGATTTTGAGGAATATGGTCAAGAAGAGGAGCAACCACCCTCCCCAGAAACATAAATATATAGCATATGCAACAGGAGGATGAAGGACAGGAAGTTGCCTTGAAGAGACTTGGTAAAAATTTTAATTATTAATGAAAGAGATACCGACAGAGAAGAAGCAGATGACGGAAGAATACTTATTCGTGCAGGCCCATTTCACCAGCTACAACCGGTCGGCGGCTGCAGCACGTTGTTTCCTTCGAGAAGACGTGTTCAAATGGCGCCGTCTGACTAGCAGGGTTCATGGCTGGGTCCGTCTGTCGCCTCTAATGGGACGTGCAAGTTAACACCATCTGGTTGTGATTTTGAGTGAATGAATTTTGATTTTTTTAAAATAAAATTTTAAATTTAATTTTTATAAAGAAAAATAAATGTTAGATAAGTTTTTTTTTATAAAATTTAAAATATTTTAATTTTAAATTAATAAAAATCTAATATGATCGTTAGATAAAGGGAAAGATCAGTAAAAAAACAAAATGGGACGTGCAAGTTACTAATAAGGAGCTAATTACCGTTCAAACCT